AAGGTTTCTTGCTGATAACAGTTCTAGAAAAATGTTGGCACCAAATGCACTTAAAAAAAGTTTTAAGGCTTAATGAAAATATAGGCTAGTAATTTCTCAATGCAGCTTGGAGGGTGAGAACAGGATGCGTCACATACGGCAAGTCCCTATTACAGACAGCATCTTCCTAATGCAAGTGATGGTCACATAGTGGAAAGTGCCTCCTTTGCTCCTTGTAGGGCACACACTGCCCAGGCCTAAGCTCAGCTCACAGCCTCAGGAAGAGAAGGGGGAGATGGGGAGAGTAAGGCAGTGCACTCTGCTGCTCCGGGGCCACTGCTGTAGGTTCTCCAGTAGAAATCCCTGACCGTGGGTAGAACTGGGAGCTTTCCTTTCACTGGACTAACAGCACAGTAATGTCAGATTTCATATTGGCAATCCAATTTGGAATTCACAAATCATTTTCTCATTAAGAAACAGAAAAGGTGGTTCCTTTCTATCATTAAACTATTTTCTTATAAGTTAAACAAGTTAGTATATTTGGGATTAATTAAGTACAAAACCTTACATAAAGCCTAAGCATCATTTATGACATTTTTCTTAAACAGGAAATAAAATGTCCCCAACTCCAAATGACATTTCCATAAATGCTTTGAACTACAACCCATTTGCAGTCTTAGTCACATGGAATATGTTTCTTGGCTCCAGAGACTGCAGAGCAACTGAACGAGGAAAAACTCTTTGGTTGGAAAACCCATGTGCAGACCCCTCAGTGGGCCAGGTATAGGAAGTGGAGCTTGGCAGATGGCTCCTGCAGGCACTTGAGCAGCTAGGCCAAGGTGAGCATGACTGCACACACTGTTGCTTTTCCAAAGTTTAACAATGTTGAAGACATTTAGCACTTGAGCTTTGTAGGCACCCAAGGCAATAGCAGCACTACCCAGACCCTTTCCTGTTAACAGATGCCCACTAGGAGAGAAGCAGGGCTGACCAGAGGGACCTCTGCCCAACAGATGATGCAATACAACTTATGCCAGCCCAATACCTCTGCTAGCAAATGACAGGTGTGACTCTGCTGCCAAACTACTTAACATCCTGGCCTAAGGTACACTGCTTGTGAATGTGGTCCAGAGGAGTTTTTAAAGGTGGTCTAATCAGTTCTTCCTCTTTGGTGCGCCTGAGAAAAGGACTTTTTTTTTCCTGGAAGGTATCAGAAATGGAGTCCATAGGCATTTGAGAAGCTGGTATTAAAAACAGCTTTTTAGATATTATTAAAGAAGCGAACCTAAGAATCCAAGGTTCTCAAGCATGTCTTTTTCCCTACCAACCAACTACAGGAACAGGAAGACTCTAAATAAGCCCAGTACTCAGATACACCTGAATAGATTTAAGTACTGCAGAGACCAGAGGGCCTCGTGTATAGGGAGAACTATAGATCAGGAGAGGAACTCCACATCGTCAGTGAAGAACAAAGGCCTAGACTTACGGCTGATGAGATAAACAAAAGGAACAATCCATAAGAAAAACTGGCATGTCAAGAACCAAAGCCAGCCCCTGTAGAAAAAAAAAAAACAAGATTCCTACATGAGACCTGACCATGGTTTCAGATGCAGGAACTGGGCAATCAGAGGATTAGGCACGAAGCCTTTCATAAAGCACAAGACTGAGGACAGCTGTTTGGTTTTTGTTCACTGCTGCTGAGAAAAAGGAAGACGTTTCAAGAAAACTATTGGACAGCGCACTAGGGATAAAATGGGAAGGAGGTGTGGGGTTCAGAGGTTATTTCAGAAGTGGAGGCCATATTGTAGAGACTCTACTCCCTTTTTAGTGTGTCTGTTTATGCCATGCTCCTCCATTCCTGAGATGGATGGGTTGTTTGGGCTCTTTCATTCATTCCTGTATGCTCAGTCAGCTGGCAGACTGCTGATCCCAGGATGGGGAAGATCCCATCAAGCCTCCTACTCCTACCCTACACCTTTCTCCCATCCTCTCCCACTTTAGAGTTTTGTTCCACTTGAAACAACTGATGCATGAACACCAGGGCAGTCCCATTTTATCCCCAAATGTTGTTTTCAGCATTCTGGAAGGCATAGTCCTCTGTGCAGCTCTCCTGATGGCAACAGAGCCTCTGAGCAGCCAGCCTCCCATGCAATAAACCCTCTCCCACCCCCGCTCCATTGGGTTCAAGGAAACGCTAACATTCAATACCCTATCTCTTGAGTGTCTGGTCTGGCTACAGGCAAAGCAGGAGCCTCTCAGTAAAAGGAGATGCTGGATTTGCCTCCTGGTGGATTCAGGACCTTATTGTGGGAGCAAGGCCGTGGGCCCAGCCTGGGCTCATGGCTATCGACTGTGGGTGTAGGCTCAGGTGCCTTGGCATGGTCTTTTTCTCTGGAGCTGCCCTTCTCACTGGGTTCTTCTTGGGGCGAGGCACTTGTTACAGCTTTAACGTTAGATTTCGGTGATTCTCCTTCACACAGCAAAATGTGATCCTTGGGTTTGTTTGGGTGTGCCAAGGGTGAAGTGGCAGTGACCGGGGACCCAAAAATATCACTGGTCTTCCCACCAGGTGGGTTCATACGTTGTCAGGTTTGCACAGGAATTGATTCGTCAAAGATACCACTTCCTTTCCCCCCTGGGGGGTTTGTCCTCTTGGGTATATTCTGAGGTTCTTCATTTGGCCCAAAAATATTAGATGCCATCCTATTAGGTCGGTTTGAAGGAACAGCTTCTTCTGGACTTCCAAAAATATTGCTCGATTCTCCTCCTGGGGGTTTCACGGACCTGGAACCCCCTCGGCCAGCCTCGCCCTCCGCACCCTGGAACATGTCCCCTGAATATTTTTTAAAGTTTTGGAAAAGAGAACTTATCTAATATAGCTAAGCAGGAAAAGATCTCAATGGATTTATTTACTTGTAAGGTTTGTTAAAGTGCAAAACTAGAAGGATAAAGTTTTCTTCTATTATTGTTCTGCTCCTAATAAGAAAGAATAAAAGGTTTTGATTCACCTTCTATATAGTCTTACCTGGGTGGACAAGATTCTGTGTCTTATCAAAACAAATTTCCAAGCCTTATGTTAACCTTTATAGTGTTATTATTATTAAAGAATAACCAAGTATTGTTTCATAGTGATATGTGATCCTATTTCATCAAGCGTTCAAACCTTTTGACATTTTTGACAACCTCTCAAAATCAAATCCTACCTGAAATCTTGTCCTTGAACACACCTTGAGATTTTCCACAGAATCCTGCCAAATCTCAAGGTATCTGTTCTTTCACTTTATACAAAGAATTTTAGAAAGAATTTACTTATTTGATATGTTAAATTGCATAAGAAAACACTATCAAATAAGAAATGATGTTCATCCTTTCCTATGTCATATTTGTATTGGTCAATATTATTAGTATAAATATTTAAGAAGTTAAATAAATTCCTAGAAACATGCCAGAACCCTTGCTGTCCATGATATATCTTGGTAAAATGCTATCAGTCATAATTCCAGTTATTTCTGTCATGTGTCACAGAAAGAACCAAATGTTCTTATAAAATGAATTCTCATCAGATCTTTAGCCATGGGCATTTTAAAATCTTTTATCATTCACAATCATTGTTTTATTTGGATTCTTCTCTGAAAGCATTTATAATTAGGTAGAGTCCATAAGTGCTCCATCTCCAAAGAGATTCAAGGGAAAGAACTCTCATGAGTACTCTGAAGGTTTCTGATTACTTTAAGATGATACCACTGAACTGAGTAAAAATTTCCAGAACTCTAGTTGAAACAAAAGCTGATGGATTCATAAAACTGCTAACCCAAGGCAAGCAGTACAAGGATAGGGCCAAGTGAACTCAAGAAGATGATCATAATTTTATGGCCATCTTGTTTGAAACTTTGTTGGTCCTTTAATCTTTTTTTTTCCAGACTTAAAAAAATCCCTTTTCTTTTAACCTGTGTAAACTCACAGAATTTGGTAAAGTCTACCTTTGTAAACAGAAATTACACATCCATTTTTCTCCCTTACTAGATCCCTCCAGAATTTGAAAATTCTTATTTTCATATTTAATTCTTTATTTTCATGGCAATATAATTACTTCCATAAGCTCAAGAAAAATCTGTTCTCTTTATAACATGACACAATTGAAAACAATGATTATACTACCAATGCTTTAACTAGATGTCATATTTGGAAATGATGAGCACAGAATCAGATAAGGCAACTCAGATATAAGGGTCTGAGGTTGACTATGGACCCAATGCTCTATTGGAATACTGGCCTGGTAACCGATTTCCAGGGTTCATGACTTACATACAAGTAAGAAAAATGACTTACCAGAAGAGCTAGGAGCCTTAAAATATTTGGGGAACCTGAAGAAAAGAAAAATTCACCCAAATATATAGGTATTACAACTAAAGTATAATGGAAAGTCCTTGGCCTGACTTCCTAGCTTCAAGAGGCTTTAAAGAGTCTAATCAGAGGTTTCTTATAAAAAGTTTCAGCAGTGGTGGCATATACCTGTAATCCCAGCACTCAGGAGGCTGAAGCAGAAGGACTGAATTCAAAGCCAGCCTAGGCTACATAGCGTGTTTCAGGCCAGCGTGGGCTACATAGTAAGACATTGTCTCAAAAAAAAAGTTTTAGCCAGATAAACTTTAAAAGTATCTGGTCAATTATCATTCTAACTGTGCTTATGTAAATAATGAAGCCCAAATCTAATGAGACCAGACTTAATTTGTAAGTAAGAATCAAAAGGGAGGTGACTGTATAGAAAAATTTTGTTTTAATGGAAAACTATAGCATGACCTGTAAGTTCTAGCCTCCTCTGATATCTGCCTGTATGTAATTCTCCTAACAAACACTTCCAAATTTTCTTCCACACTTCTAACTTGGTACCACTAGGCCCTAAAACTTCCCCTTTCCCTAAGCCTGAAAGCTGAAATCAGACAAGTTCAAGGGAATTACCATATAACAGATCACGTTCAGGCAACCTTCACACCTGCAGCCATGTGGACACTCAGAAAGTTCATGAGAATACCCGATGCCACCACAGAAGACATTCAAACTGCAAACCAGAAAATATTGCCACTGCTACCATAGCTTTCGAATGGAGAAATGTGAAGACCTTTACTCAAAGTGTAAGTGGATGAGGGCCACAAAAGAGTGCTGAATTACACTGTGAAACAGTAAGAAAGATTAAAGTGGCCAGGAAGGAAGCCAGCAAAAAGGGAGGTAGGATGAGAGCAGGGGAAAGAGAGAGGGACAGGGAGATAAGCAAGCTGGGAGGCCTGAAGGGAAATTCCCTGTAAATTGAAAGCATGGTGTTGTGAGTGTCAGTTGTGAGTCACCATCTTTTCCCTTCCCTATTACATAAAAGATTCAGAAGGCTTCCACATATAAAAGCTTTGTTAGTTTTATCTGGGGAAAGGGATAAAGTGAACACAGCAATGAGGAAGAAAACAGAAGAGCCCAGAAGTGGTAGAGAACACTGAAGGTAAATGGATAGGCTGGTGTTCAAGAATTTAGCAGAGAAAGGGGCTACACCATAAACAGACCCAGGAAAACATAAGCCATCTGTGGCGAATGCTCAGGTAAAGGGTGAAGGGCAAAGATAAGCACCATTTGGTTTGAACATCCTCCCACAAACTCTTCTCATTAGTCAATGTAATTTCCTGCTCACAGTGCATAGAACTATGAGGGAAGAATGCGACAGCATGTGTGAAAATTGCTTCAACTCTCAGGTAGTTGTCAAGAGAAGTGTCATGTAATACTTGATGTGACTCATTTAGGTAGGAGGTGGCAGCAGGTATAATTAAGAGAAGTCTGAAGTGATGTGGCATTTCCTTTAAAGAGATACATTATTACAAAGGAAAAATGGTATAAAATTTGTACTTTATTTGTACTTTATTTAAAATGTTGACATTATGCGCACTGATGAAATCATGTTTATATTTATGAAAGAGCTATTATTATGAAGATTACTTATTCATTGAGATTTATGAATAATGTAATTGGATGTCTCCAACATATTAGTAAACTTATAGCACTTATGAAATTTAATGGTAGTTTATACCTATCAAAACAGTTATTCCTAACATCAAGAAAATCGAAATCACAGTACAGAAATGGCTAAGATAAAATAAAAATGGAAATGTTTTTTAAATCAAGTAATTGACCTCCTCGAGTGGAGGCACAACGAAAAGTAGATTTAAAAAAAATACATGGTCAAATTCCAAAAGGGTTTTGTCTTTGATGTGGCTTGATATCTGGTCTTTTTTGGTGGTACTAGGAACTGAACTCAGGGACTTGCACTTATTAGACAAGTGCCTCACTTGAACTGCAATCCCAGTCCTTTTGCTTATAGTTTGTCTTTCAGATAGAGTCACATTTTTGCCCAGGCTGGTCTCAACTATGATCCTCCTACCTCTACTTCCTAAGTAGCTGAGACTACCATGTCCAGCTTGTTTTTGATAGGGTCTTGCTACCCTTTCCCCAGCTGACCTTGAACCCTGATCCTATCTCTGCCTCCCAAGTAGTTTGATATCTTAGGACAGTGATTCCTATAATGTGGTCCCTGGACCAGCAAGTTGAACATCACATGGGAACCAGCTGGAAACACAAATTCATGTTTTAGAGATACCTCAGTTAAGGAGCAAAGAAAACCAATCATTGGTTAAAGGTTACTTCAAGGGACCATGAATACAAGGTGAGCTTGCTTCCTTGGCCACAAAAACAAAACAAAAGAGTACTCGGGCAGAAAGTAGCAGTAGCAGGTATTTTCAGTAAGCAGTGTGTGTTTTTATTGTTATTTTAATTTATTTTATTTTGCAGTGCTGGGGATTGAACTCAGGGCCTTGCAAAAGTGAGGCAATTAATTTACCACTTGAGCTATGCCTCCAACTCCTCAGTAAGCAGATTTTTGTGTGCCCAGGTAAGTATAGAAGGGACATCTGTGTTAGTCAGTTTTCATTGCTGTGACAAAATATCCAACAGAATCAACTTTAAAGAAGGAAGGATTTATTTTGGCTCATGGTTTCAGAGGGTACAGTCTGTGGTTAGCTAATGCCATTGTTTCTGGGCAGGAGATGAGGCAGAACATCATCAAACAGAGGTCATAATGGATCAGAGCTGTTCACCTCATGGCAGCAAGAAAGCAGAGAAAGACAGGAAGGAGCCAGGGCCAAGCAAAGGCACACTCCCAGTGACTTACTGCCTCCAACTAGACCTCACCTTCTACAGATCCAATACCTCCCAATAGTCTATTCAAATTTTGATTCCATGAGCTAATTAAAACATTGATTAGGTCAGAGCTTTTATGATCTAATGTCTCTGGAAACACCCTCACAGACACACCCAGAGGCATGCTTTACTAATCTCCTGGGTGAAAGGCTGGGGGTGTGGCTCAAGTGGTAGCACTTACTTAGCAAACACAAGGTCCTGCCTGTGGGCTCTACCACCACACAGGAAGAAAGTAAAAAGAAACTAGTCTCCTAGGTGTCTGTCAATCCAACCAAGATGACAATCAATATTAAACATCACAATATGGTAGGGCACCAACAGCCTCTGCTGTTACGGTAATCTAGGGGTTCTCACCTCACGTGTCATTAGATTAATGTCAATGATGAATGCCATGTTCAAAAGTGTTCTCTCTGGAACTGACCCAGCATGTGCTAGGTGTAGTAGGTAGTTGGTCCCAGTTATTGCTGTACAGTGAATTTAGTAGGCAGGACTTTCTAGCAGAGCATGATAGGCTGTATATCTGATTTAAAACAGAAACTCCAATTGATTCAGTGAAAAATTCATCTAATTCTACCACTGATTCATAGTAACCATA